GGCCGAGCGCTGGGACAGGCGTTCGAGGAGGGGCAGAGCCACTGGGGTGGCACCGAGACACCGAGGGAGCCGGGAAGGACCCGGCAGGGCTAACGTGGGGACTCTGCTCCCGTATTCCTGCTCCTGCCAGATTGTAATCGCTTGTCTTTGCTCATAAACATTATCTGGACCCCAAGTCAAGTCTTGTCACGTTCATGGGTGCCAAATGGCCAAGCTGGGGTGGGGGCAGGGTTTGGGTACGGTGCAATCCAGCCCTGGGGCCCCACTGGGGGCCGGGAAAGCCGCCGGGGAGCGGTTCAAGGCAGCTGGGGCTGTGCTGGCAGGAGGCAGTGCCGGCCGGAGGGTGGGAGCGGCGAAAACCCCGGGATGAGCTGGCCAGGGCCAGCTAATGTCGAAACCGAGTGGGAGACGCGCAGCCGGAGGAAGGAGCTGTTGGGTAAGGCACGGGGCCAGCGTAACCACTGGGCCTTGCACAATGCGGGGCGGGAGCCCGAGAGGGCTGAGGCTGGCCAGGTGACCAGGGCAGAGGAGCCTGTTTGCCGTGTGTTCAGCCCCTCCTGGGACCAAAGTCCCCACGGCAGCGCGAGGCAGTGCCCTGCTCGGCTGGAGGAAAAGTCCGTGTGTGCAGCTGGGACCCACAGCCCCACTGCTCGAGGGCAACAGGGCACTTAGAGGGCGAATCCATGTGACACACCGGCATGAAAAGCATCTTCATTCATCCCTGGGAACAGCAGCAAGTCCTGGCAGCGCCGACACCTCCTGCCACCGCAGGCAGCCCTTGATGGGGGGGGATAAAGGGACTTGAGGCAAAGAAGGGGCACAACTGAAATAACCTGCACGGCTCCCCTCACAAAGCTTTCTTGCCCCCTGGCTGGAAACTGCTGTCCTGAGCCTGCCGCACCCCCCTAGAAGGCCTCATCCCTGGGAACAGCAGCAAGTCCTGGCAGCGCCGACACCTCCTGCCACCGCAGGCAGCCCTTGATGGGGGGGGATAAAGGGACTTGAGGCAAAGAAGGGGCACAACTGAAATAACCTGCACGGCTCCCCTCACAAAGCTTTCTTGCCCCCTGGCTGGAAACTGCTGTCCTGAGCCTGCCGCACCCCCCTAGAAGGCCGCCGGCCTGGAAGTGAGTTGCCATGCCA